CTTGTGTAGATAGACATTAAAGGACTCTTCCATGAGGTGTTCACAAAACAAGTCCCATGATGAGGAATCCCAGCAATGATCAGGACGTGTTCCGATTATTGGGGTAATCTTCAAAGATCGATGTAAACGACCAAGCAATCAAATGTAATTTTCAGTAATGAAATACATAATGGTTTTGACCGCTCTTTCAAAGTCGAAAAAAAGCATAGTGACACAGGCACTGCAGCTCACCTGAATATGTAGTCAACAAAGAGAGACACTTATAATAAATCGCTGCCTGTCAGGATCGATATTCAAAAATGTTCTGCATAATTCCTAAAGGACTAACACTAAAATCTAATGACTTGAACTAAATATGACATCATCATAAGACAAACATGCCAAAGTTCAACTACCTTGGTCTGTCAAAATCAGAACAGAGGAAGTTTAAAAAAATGCCTTTGAGAGAAAACAAGGAAAAGATTCAAAATATAACAAAGAAAGGGACATGTACATTGAGCCCCACTACAAACTACTAAGTACACATGTACCAAATTTCATTCCATCTTGAATAAAAATGACTAAGTAATGGAAAAGTAAGTAGCTTTTTTCAATATGACTTGTCAAGCGACCATACAGAAAATTTGATTCAAGCATAATCAAAGTGTAAAGGTCAAATCAAGTTAAAACAAGAGGCCCATAGGGCCTGTATCGCTCACCAATAATGACAAAATATACATTTGCTTTGTACATGTATATAATACTGCAAATATTTCGTAATTTGGACTCTGACAGAATTTAAAATGGGTGGATGGCACGTTTACTTCTCTAGATACAAATGTAGCATAAAGATCTGAACCGTTTCCATGTTATGATCAAGGATCTAAGTTTCCAGAGGCAAGGTTGGACCCTGGTATTATTCGCTTCAAAACAAACAAATGTATATTATATATCTGTTTATTATAGGGTGGGGATAATATCGGTTTGCATGTTATGGTCAAGGTTCTAACTCCTCTGGGAGTGCCGGACAGATGAACAGAAGAGACAGTCCTGGGAGCATATGTGCATTGCTCTCATTATACTCAGCAATTGTATATATGGTTATACATTGGGGATCTTAACTGTGTTCAAGTTAAAAACGCTTTTTGGCCCCGCCCCTCTGCCCCTGAATTCCCATCACCTGAGATTATTTCCAACCAAATATGGTTGATATCTGTCTCTTACTTCCAGAGAAGAAGTTGTTTCAAGCAATATAGCCAAATTACCCCTATTTGGCCTTGCCCGTCAGCCCCTGGGGAGGTCAGCCCCTCCATTTGTACAATTTTGAATCCCCACCACCTAGGGATGCTTCCAGTCAAATTTTATTAATTTCCAATTAGTGGTTCAAAAGAAGTTGTTTGAAGAAATTGTTGACGTACGGACGACGGACGGACAACAGACGACATGGTATACCATAAGCTCACCCTGGTCCTTTGGACCCAGTGAGCTAAAAACTGAAATATTGTGAAACACAGATCATATGTGTTGAGCCCCACCACTAACTACACATATATACGAAATTCAATATGATCATTGTGGCGGACATATTGCAAATCATATTTGAACCTCTTGAACAATATGGGTGCCATTATTGGTGGACATGTGAAGTTTCTGCTTTATTTGTTCAGTGGTTTCTAAGGAGAAAATGTGTCAGTTGAGCTAAAAGTAGATTAACCAAAACCCTGAGATGGTATTGTTTCCTATTTCCTGGGAATTGTTTTTCACTGCATACTACCAAGAAGGCAGAAAGAGTGTGTGCAATGTCTCTTTTGAGAAATAAAGTTATGAAGTAAGAGCTTCTGTTTGATTTTGTGATCGAGTTTTTTCTGAACATAACATTGAAAAACAGCAAAATGATGCTGATTCATTTCAAATATGAATCAGGTGGGATGATCTAATTATCAACAAGAATACAGAGTTATCACAATCTCTCACCATGGGGCACATAAGAATTTTGTTTGCTCATATAGTAGTGAATAATATGGAAGTTATGTTAACCATGGAAGAGTCATCAGAAGATGACAATTCCCCCGGCCCCAACAAATTTGAAAGAAAGATTCATCTGACTGAATAAAAGAGCCAAAAATCTGTAAATAGCAACAGGGACCACTTCAGGATCTGTTTGATATATCTGCCAAGTTTTGTTGAAAGATATTAAACGGTTTTCGAATTACGGTCCGGAAACAAAATTAATATTGAACAGTTTTCGAGTTCCTGAAAACAAAATGACTACGGAAGGACAGACGGATTGACAGACAGACAAGGTGTCAACTGTTTCCCCCCACATTATATGCCAGGGGGATAAAAAGAGTCCTATAAAGCCGTAAGAAGAGACAGACACTAGGGTCGCTTTATGTCATCAGAGACAAGGGTCATCACCCCACATTGTTTAAGGAACAAATCATCTGACTGTTACTTTAAGTCCAACTTTTGGACTTTGGGATTTGGAACTTTGCATTTCTATGTCAGGTACACACAACTATGAACAGAGTTAACATCAAACCTCTTGCCATGGAAACAGGAAAATTATAAATTATAAAAATCCCTAAATAGCAAAAGGCACCAGTTGACAACCTGGTCTTTGTGTGTGCACAGTTTCAAAAAAGAGTGCCTATTAGTTTCAGAGATATGGTCCGGAAAAACACACCACTATGAACAGAGTCAAAAGTCAAACTTGCTGCCATGGAAACACCAAAGTAGCAAAAGGGATCATTTGATAACCTGGTCTTTGTGTGTGCAAAGTGTTATGAAAGAATACTTATTATTTCTAGAGTAATGGTCCGAAGAAACACACCACTATAGAGTCAAACATGTTGCCATGGAAACGGAAAAATTATTTTCATTAAAATTCCTAAATAGCAAAAGGCACACCTTAAGCCCTTGATTAATACATGTACATAGTTTGGATGAAAAATGTTGAATAGTTGTTTAGTTCTGCTCCGGAAACAACACCTAACTCCATTTCAGCCAAGTCTAACTTGTTGCCATGGAAACAGTGAAAAACAAACTGTGAAAAAGTTCCTAAATATTCAGTCCATGGTTAACAGATCTACCATGTTTGGATGAAAATTCTTTCACGGTTTTCACGTTGTGCCCTGGAAACAAAATCCACCACACCCTTTTGAGACAAGTCCAAATTGTTTCCATGGAAAATCGGGAAAATAGAAATGAAAAAAATCCACAAATAGCAAAAGGATTTACTCCAGAATCTTTATGATAAATCTGCCAAGTTTTGTTGAAGATATTGAACGGTATTTGAGTTGTGCTCCGGAAATGAATTGATTACGAGCGACGGGCGGGCAGACAGACGAGGCGACAACTGTATGACCCTGCTTTATATGCAGGGGCGGTGAAAATAATCACCTATTTCCAAAATCAGTATTGAAAAGCATTCTCTTCGATAAGCATGCAAACTTTCATTATAAAAAGCATTGAGCAAGGGACATAACTCTAAAAAACTTAATTTAAGACGCCAATTGTCAAACTCATTTGAGATAGTGACCACTAAGATCAGTGTGCATCTTTCACTTCTCTAACTGACATAGTTTTTGAGAACATTTCTTTTCATTGAGAAGTGGAAGGACTCCATTCCCATATCTCCTTCCCCACTTTGTGACGGGGGATAAAACTTGGTCTTACACCTGAACGTGATGTAAGGACGGAATGATATCACACTAGACACGACAACATAGATGAAGATTGTTGACGTCATTCAACAATTAAAATTGTGGTTTTCTAGGACAGCTGTGGTGATCAGTGTAAGGGCAGCTCCAAAGGAGAAAGAAGAATGGGTAATAAAGAAATTATTACACTCACATGTCACACACATGGATTACAAGGATACAAGGAATACAAGGATTCTGACACTCATTTCATAAAACCAGTATGACACGCATGCTCGTATACAAAACTCTATACATGATGCTTAATACTGGACATTAGGAAAATTAGGAAGCAGCCTTTCCTGCTGCACCTGCCTCAGTGAATTGTTGTATCTAAAATAAACTACACCTTGCATCAGGCTTCATAGTTCTTCTGATGCTGATATGCATAACTGCAACTGTTCAAGGCATAGGATTATCATCTTGCTTACCCGTCTGACATTCATAATTTTGATAACAGATAACTAAAAGCACTTATAGTTCCGACTTTATGGGATTTTTTAAGACTACTGTACAGCAGGCTTTATTTTTTTTATCTTTCTACATTCATATCAGAAATTTAACATCAACTAAGAAGTTGTTCTATCCTTTAATTTGTTCTTAACTGTATGCATCTGTCGATCAAATCAATCTCAATTTGCCCATTCTCCAACATTCTTACTGTTTTCAACTGCAGTGTTCTTAATAACATATTATCAGGGCCTGATATCAAATCATATCAGTAACTGCAAACTTACAGATGGTTTTTTTTCATCTGTATGTATGAGAACTCTGTTTTGCAATCACACAGCAAGGAGTTTTATTAAAATTCCAACCAGGAATGTAGGTAAGTGATTTCGTTGTAGTGTACGGCGGGCACCTGTCTTACATCACAAACCGCTTAGAAAGACAGGGAAGCCAGCCCGTGCGCCGGCCTGGGTCAGCCTGTCACCGAGACGAACACCATCTCGCCACGAGCCGCGCGCTCAACTCATGCAGCACGAGCACATGTCCAGAGATCTTTCAACCAAAACAATGTTAGACAAATGATCGTCCATAACAGCACCCAAGACACCAACGACCATGATGTCGTTTGAGTGATAAGAAAGGTCATGTGAAATGACACGATTCATAACCCGAATCAATTTTGCAAATGGCTGAAGGACTATAAGAGTAAACAAAGACGATTGCTTTGTTCTCCAGTCTGACACATGTCTTGCGACTGACATTCGACACGCAGCTCACGCCAGTTATATATCATGACCAACTCCCATGCTCCACTAAACTGGTTCGTTTTAACATGAAAGAGCCGCAAGATTGTCCTGGTAGTGCCTTCCTTACCTGACAAGTCTGAAGTTCGCCTCTCTTGAAATCCTAACATAGTGCTCCTGTCTGGGAATTTTCACGGAAGATGGCGCACATGAAGATTGAGGGACCAGTTATTATTTCTACCGTTATGTTTTTTTTCATGAATAGTTTCGAAAGAGTTATTTCCCTTGGACCCCGTGTAGATTAATCCGTACAATGTACCGTGCACCCGTGAAAGGCACTAATGACATAATGAAATTACAAATATTTCATGATGATTATAACGTATAATAATACGACCCCGAATATACATTTTAATGCAGAACATTTCATGTTCATTACAACATCATTCATATCTAAACCGATATTATCCAAATATACAACCAATATTATTGTATCATTTACCATTGTAATTTCATAGGTTTCCTTTCACAATATATATATAATACTAACACTGTGTATTTAGAACGTTATAATATTACAATCTCTTTTTGAAAATAAATATATTTTTAAAAAAAAGTTACGAATTCATAAACAACATTCATTCACCCTTAGGATGCGTTATTAACGCATTTCTCAAAATAACGTATGTAAATAATGACATCTTCAATTCGACACTCGTATGTACAAATTCTTATATACTCAATGGTTTATCCACACTTTTAACACGAGGAGCACCGCACTGTAGCTCACCCTGGAGTTGTTTGTATTCAACAGCTAAAATGTCAGCAAAGCACACGCTTTTTGAAGATAACTGTTGCAAGTATCTGCAGTCGTATACCAGGCATCCGGTGTAAATGGTAGCAGCGTTCAAAACAACAAACCCGCCCTCAGTTCAAACAAGAAAACATCATCACATTTAGTTTTAAAAACTATCGGACATGTCCCTAGAAGTGATATGAAGGTTTACTGGTTAAAGCAGCTGCTTGTCACATCCTAGACCAAGATTTCCTCACAGTACAAGATTAAATTTGCAAAAGAGTACATTGTATAACCTTACTTCCCTCGTATATTGATGATATATAATCCCATATGAAGCCGTCTAGACAAACCTGTACTTCCCGAAATAAGGTTGTGTATGAGGTCAGATACAACTGCTGAAATCCTCGAGCATTACACAGAGCTTAAGGGCAGCTAGAGCACAGAAGGGAGTGAAAGTGGAATTTTTTTTATATATATGCTCTTGGGTATGTATAAAATACCCAAAACCAGTCAATCTGACTCAAATACTGTTATTAGATTTGCGAATTTGTCCACCCAATTCAAAGATAAAAGTCGTTTTGTCTTTTTTACAAGGAAATGTGTAGCTGCACTCATCTAATTTTCCCCTCCTCTTTATGCCTTAATATATATTAGCTGCATGTCTTTATTTAGCGTTATGCTCCATCGGAGTAGAGTTCCTGAACATTAAGGGGTTTCTGCCATGTTTTCCGAATGTTATTTTTATTTCCGTTAAACATAAATTAAATGTAACCGATGAGTCATTACTAAACTGGGCGGCAAAAGAAAGTATAGGTCGAGTTCCATGATCGTTAAAAAAAATAGCAAGAAGAGGTTTTGTTGTGAATTATAATATAATCTAAGGAGGGGTAACAAATGATTGATCAACCACAGTGTGAATGAATAGGTAATGTAAGCTCAAGGTAAACAAAGGTGGGGTAAGATATTTCATTTTCAAAAGTTGTCTGAAATGTCACCAAAAAATTGTCAGACACACTACCAGTTCATTGTCGACACAGTTGCCTTCAATAGCGTGTATGACCCCCAGCTGCCTCAATGCATGCTGTGATACGCCGCCTCATAAATGACGTCAGTCATCTGATGACTTGGACTGGAATCCGTTGCCACTCGTCTCTCAGGACCTATTGCAATTCTTGTCTGTTGACGGAAGGCTGATGGCCTGCTCTAATCTGTCTGTCAAGATGGTCCCACAGATGTTCAATAGGATTCATATCGGGTGAGTGGGTAGGCCAGGGCAAAACGTCAACGTTCTGCTGGTTTAGAAACAGAATCAGTCTTGCAGTATGGGGCCTGGCATTGTCGTGTTGCCGTGTCCCCTGCTGTTGGTTTTGTAAGAACGGAAGGACAACTGGCTGCAAAACTTGGTCTCTGTACTGCACAGCGTTCAGGTTTCCCTGTATAATCACCAAATCAGTCTTCTGATCTCCACAAATACCGCCCTCGCCGAATGGATGGACCTCTCGAATACACGCCGGAGCCAAGCGTTCCCCTCTTCGTCGATAAACTCGTTCTCTGCCGTCATTTCGAAACAAGTTAAACCGACTTTCATCAGTAAACAGCACTCGACGCCAATTTCCAGCCACCGTTGAACCTGCCTCGCCCATCGCAGTCTCAGGCGTCGATGTTGAGCAGTCAGTACCATTCCTCTGAAAGGAAGATACGCTCAGATTCCAGCAGCACGACGTTGGCTAATGGGATGTCCCATCGCTGTTGCTGCCGTCGCCGTCGCCGTAACGACTCTGTTTCGCAGGTGAATGAGCCGTATCTGACCGTCTTCCAGTGGTGTTGTCACTCGGGGTCGTCCGGTTCTAGGCCTGTCCTGCGTCCTCCCTGTCTGCCTGTACCGTTGAATCGGACCCCGTGGTACCGTGGCATTCATCGTATCGCGGCATTTGTGATTTCCGATAGTTCACGCGGGACACGCCTCTTAGCGGCTATCTATTAATGCAAATCAGTAACCAGGAAGTGTTCACTTCGTAAACAATTTCAATTTCCTCGGAATGTTCCGTCTGCTGTAAGTAAGGAGTTATTAATCCGTTGATACATATTTCTGGCATCTGTTGTAATATTGCCTTACCCCCATCTATCAATGGCCAACGATATAACCCGCAGTTCCCCAAGTAAACTTTCTCTATCGACCTGAACTAGATCATCTGCATATTCATAGCGACTAATGAGGTAACGGAAGTTACGTAGTCCGTACATTTCTCCCCGCTCTGTGCCCAGAATCTATTGGGAGATCTTAAGGGCCATAATGCCAAACTTAGAAATACGTTCTTCACTAGTAACCAAAAGATAAATACATACTTTGGGCATACTAGGAGTGCTTTTTATATATTTATTGTTGACTTTTAACATTTTCCCATTTTGTGACAAATTATTGTCATCCAATTTTTTTAAAAACAATTTTAAAATATCATTTCTGATATTTTGTTGTTGATTTTATAAAAATATTTTTCTCTTACTTTTCGGTAAAAATGCATTGAATACCTATTGCTGATAACACATTTAGAATTTTACTTGTGCTGTCTTTGCACTTGTCAGGACAAATCACTGATGTCTGGCATGGTCATACCAAGTGGTTGGTAGAATTATGTCCTCTTTTTGTCCAATTCGGACCTCCATACACAACCTTTCTCTGTACCGCGATACGATGGAGTTCTCTCCCTTGTCAAACAGAGCGCGAAGCCCGGCTTTTACTCGGAGCTACTAATGTAAATAATGAACTTTTATCAGTAAAATATGCATAGTTTGATAAAATAAATGATATCTGATATAGAGAACACGAATAATAATAAAGGTTGGTGAGTGCATTTTGTTCCGTTAGCGTACATGACAAGTACCGCGATACCCCGAGGTTGCAGGCTACAACCAAAACTTCTGGCAAGTTGGACCAGTGTTGCCCCCATTTCGGCCATACCGATGGATCTCTCTCTCTGCACCTATGACAGTCGTCTTATTTCTTTTGTGTGATTTCATCACGTGTGGTTATACAATGCATACAAACGCATTTATACAGCTTACATGCACGTGCAGTTTATGCGATAGGCGGGAAACCTGTTTCACCATTTTTCACCACACGAGCGCCGTCAATGGTGGCGCGTTCGGGTGAGGTGTTTTTTGGTACCTGTTCCTGGGCAGTCATATTCCCAATACCCACTTTCCACTAGTTATCGCTGCTTTTAGGAAAATTGCAAATTGCCAACCTATACTTTCTTTTGCCGCTTAGTTTGTATGAACAAACACCAACACACCGATGCCTACATTGGTCGCCATCAACTGCAGTAGGGGCGCTCTGCAATTCCTTGTATTCAAACTGTTCAGCAACAATATTGCAAAAAACAATTACTGTCCATTAATCGGCTATAGCTTTTAACGAAATTTGACATATGCGTAGTTTGTAGTTGGCTTTGTCAACATATATGTCCTGGGGTTGTTTTTTTGCGTTACTTTGAATTTTGACCTTGATTTGGCCTGTGCACTTGAAACTTTCTGGGCTCTGTAAACGCCTTCTTCTCCTATGGAACTGCTGTTCTGAAGATGACACTTGCTACGAATGTTCTAATGGAGACATTTAAAAAAATCAAATGGCCTGAACGGTTATCTCAATATCTTCAATGTAAAGAAAAGTTTAATTTTGCGTGGGTTGTAACATCTTCCCGAGGCAAGAGAGAGGCTGAAATTTCTGGGCTCGATCGTAGCGCCACCAGTGGCTATTACGAGTTATGTCCCTTTTATTCCTCTCATATGGACCAATTAGATGCTACCTCTCTTATCACTTGCATTTGCTTCAAACAAAATGGCGGCGACCAGTCAATACGATCTGATCGATAATCAGTATCTATATTGTGATAAAACGGGTCTCACATCGCGAAGTGCATCAAATCACGTGAGCACCTTGAATAAAAACATGAAAAGATTTGGAAAATATCTGCTGACAACGAGTTGACGGTGCACATGCCTTACAAATCCTGCAATCGACCGAAATCTGCACGACAGTTAACGAACCGGATTTCGTTTCCGTTGCGCGATTTTGATTGGACTATGCCAAAACTCTTTAGTCCAGCCAAAATTTAACTCCATAATACCAGCCTAGTTCAGCAAGGGTGGAAACTGGCCTTTAATAGTCAGTTAACTCTCTTGCCTCGGGAAGATGGGGTTGTAATGACTGTAAGTAGAATCAAGTGACATGAAAACATACTGTATTATAAATGTAGAGCAAGGTATCATGCTGAGTAAAACCGTGCTAAATGGAATTTACACAAAACGTAGCAACTTCTCAAGGACATGTCCCAGCTATGAAGAACATGAAGCGAAGAGAAATATAGCTCTCAGCAACATTGTTGGGCTGTAAGCGACATATTTATTCAGTGGACTAAACACATTCTTACTACAT